CCGGTATTCTAGAACAGAATTTCTCTATTTTATTCGAAGCAAGGGCACTCCATGAGCTAAAACGTGTATCCTCTGTCACATGTTTATGGACATGAGCTTTGTGTCAGTTAGGCATGGTCTACACTGAAGGGGAAAGTCGACTTAAGATACGCAACTCCAGCTAGGTTAATTATGTAGCTGGATCAATGTATCTTAAATTGTGTTTTCGTGCTATCTACACAGCAGTCGGTCAATGGGAGCACACACGCCTGTGGACTTCACTTATTCCTCGTGAGGAGCAGGATTATCGGTGTTGATGGTGGCATCCTCTCAGTTCGAATTAGCGGGTGTTCACTAGACCCGCTAGTTCGAACCCCAGAAGATCGACTCTGTTGTCATCGATCTTCCGCGTAGCATAGACATGGTCTTAATGTACAACACTATGTTCTGGATTTTAATTGATAAATTATAAAATATGTTGAATGTTTTTATATTATGGCTTCAGTCGTGTGCTTAATTTCCTGCATCTGAATAGGCCCAGAGAAGTTGGTGGCACCATTCACATGTATAAAATTAAGTATGTGCATAAATGTTTGAGGGAGCAGGGCTAAATGACTGGATTAATTATCCCCAGTCATAATTCCTTGCCGCTTGGATTCAAATCGCTGTCAAGAAAATCCTGGTTTTATTATTACTGATGTTAGATTTTTCTTTTAGGTTCAGACACAGGACTCCTCACCAGAGAACCTCAAAATGGTTATTTGTGAGATCATGTCACCATATCTGGCTTCGTCCAATCTCTCCAGGAAAAGCATGGGAGCACACATTCACAGGACATTTTGTTTCACCAACACGTCTCTTTTGGAGTCCTTTTTCCAAGCGTTCAGGAGTCAGATCTCTCAGGTAAGTAGCCAGCACCTCTGGGCTCCATGAAGAATATTAAGAGTTGTTCTTATTCTTTGGACTGTTGTATTGGTGCCATAATCATGGGCCAGGATCCCTTGTCCAAGGTGCGGTTCAAAGAGTAACTCAAAAGATGGTCCCTGCCCTAAAGAATTGGCATTCTAATTCCTTAGGATGGGGCAGGGAACTTTTTTTTTAGTTGGGGGCCAACGACCCACAGAAAAATCAGTCGGGGGCCGCACAAAGGTGAGAAGCAAAGACTGAGAAGAAAGACACTTCCCTCCCCACATACCTCTTACACACCAGAGCCAAGAGGGGGCCCAGGCTAGTAGCTAATAGATTTTGTGTGGCCGCCTAGGCTCTGGCGAGGGGTTGAGTGTGTTGGAGGTGGCTGCAGGGAATCAGGCTTGGGGTGTGGGATCTGGAAGGCAGGGAAGGACACAGAAGGGAGTTGGGGGTTGGTGGGTCTGGGAGAGTAGTAGGGTGCAGGAGTGGGCTGGGAGTGGACAAGCTGGGTGGGTGGTAGTGTGCAGGGTATGGGAAGCGGGGGGTGATTCTGGAGCCAGCTGGGAATTAGGGTGGGGGGGAAGTAGGGTGCAGGCATGTAGTGGGGTTGGGGATCAGAGCAAGAGGGGGTGCAGGAGTGAAGTGGGGTGCGGGGTCTGGGTGGGGTGATGTGAGAACGAGATCGAGGCGAAAGGTCTGAGTGGGAGGCGGGGTGCAGGAGCTGGTTATGGGGTCTGGGCAATGGGAGGGGGATGCTTACCTGGTTCAGGTCCCTGGGGACACACATGTACCCTGCTGCTCCTAGGCACTGCCCCCTGCTGCTCCTATTGGCCACAATCACGGCCAATGGGAGAGGCAGGGGAAAAACCTCCAGGCAGCGCTTTGCTGCACTGCTGTTTCCCCAGCCAGAGGAGGAAGGACAATGTACAGGCAGTCCCCGAGTTACGCGGATCCGACTTATGTCGGATTCGTACTTACAAACGGGGCTTTTCTCGCCCCGGAGGACGCGGGCGGCGGGACCGCCCAGACGCGCCGCGGTCCCGCCGCCTGCATCCTCCGGGGCGAGAAAAGCAGCTCCGCATCTCCCTGGTCTGCTGGGGGGGGGGGGCGTATTTCCTCAGCCCTCCCCTTGGTTCCAGTTTCATCACCTACCACCTCCCCTAGTTTCGTTGCTTTATGAGCTCTGCTGTAGAATCTCGTTGTTCTGGGTCCTCAGGTGGCAATCCCTGCAGGCAATGTCATGAAAGAGAACAAGTTATTCCACCGTGCTGTGCTCGTCAGCCATTCACAACAAAACGACTAGTTAGAGCTGGACTCATTCCAAGTCCTGTAACAGTGTAAACAGTCTCTTGAAATGGGTTTTAGGCAGGCTGGTTAAATTAATCCCGGCTGCAAACCTATTCATTTCGGCATAATTACACTTGGGAAGAATTTGATCCATTGACCCAGCTATAGGTATAATGTGCAGAATTAGTCAGATATAAGCCCTGTTGAATCCCTGCGCTGGGGAATAAGGTGTGCGGTGCCTCCTTGCCTACACAGCGTACCTGCATTGCACATCTGAAGTGGAGAAAATCAGTTGCCAGTGGGCTGCTACTCCTTCTCCTGCACTGATTGTTGAGGTTGCCTGACAGGATTATGGAATAAACAGAATCCCGTAAAGCACCAATCAATATGCCTGAGCTAGCTTAGGCCATGTCTTCACAAGGGGGAACATCAATGCTGGCGTAATTGATCTTCTGGAGTTCAATTTAGCAAGTCTAGTAAAGACCTGCTAAATCGAACTCAGAGGGTGCCCCCATCGGTGGCCAGTACTCCAGCTCCTGTGAGGAATAAGGGAAGTCAACAGGAGCATTTGCTTCCATTGGCCGCCCACTGTCAGGATGGTGGGGACACTAGAATTAAAGTACATTGATGCCAGCTAAATAATTAACATAGCAGGAGTGTAGCTTTGGCTTTAGAGAAGGTTGTAAGCTTTGCTAGGAAAAGGGCGAGGCCCTCGTACTTCCATACAGAGCAGGGACTGAATTGTGGCTTTTAAGGGGAGGTCTACACTTACCAGGAGATTGACACAGCAGCAATCGATCCCTGGGGGGTCGATTTAGCAAGTCTAGTAAAGACTTGCTAAATTGACCTCTGTTCGTTCTTTCATCAACTCCGGTACTCTACTGGAACAAGAGGCAGAAAGGAAGTTGATAGGAGAGTTTCTCCTGTCAACCCTCTGTAGTAGAGACCCCACAGAAACTCAATCTAAGGTACGTTGACTCCAGCTATGCTGGTCACATTCCCAGAGTTGCATGCCTTCGATTGACATTGTCCCTTCCTGTACACCTACCCTCAGGTGACCTCAATTTGGTTCCTTCTTGTGCTCTTGAGTTATTGTAGCTGTGTTATCCTTTGCTGAGGCTGGATTGTAAGGGTACAACCTAGCTCAAAATAAATAGAATACTCAGCACACAATTTTATTACGTTTAAAAATATTTTCCAATTTTGATTTTTATGCAGTCGGTAAAGCCCTTCCAAAAATATCCTGGGGTTACCAAAATTGAAAATGCTCTGTACGAATTCCAGATTATTTTGGAATGTGAAATGTGACTCTTTTGGTTGTGTGGTGCAGCTAGTTAACAAATATTCAGTCTTCTCTCATTTAATTTCATCTTGTTATAATTTAAGTTGCAACAGGACCCTCCGTACCAGGTGACGTTTGTCAAAGAAACGGTCTCGTTCCTGTCACTCCTCTCACGAGTGCAGAACGAAAAGTCTTTGTGGCGCTTCCTCCTGATGGCCCCAGACATGATCCGAGGCAGCCTGGGAATGAAGGACAAACATTATTTTCTTCAAAACCCAAGCAGGTAGGGCCACAGAAAGAATGGAAAGTGCAGTAATTGTATGCTTGTTCACACCTTTTGTTCATCCTAGGGCAACTCCACAAGGGAGCTTGTTGAAAGCAAAGCATGATGTGTCGGTACAGAGCTTTCTTATTATGTATTTGAAGGTCTCCAAGGAGATGGTCGGTAATACACTCGCTTTGCGCCCCTATGGACATGTCTATGCAACCTGCTGAAGTGAATGGGGCTCATTCCAGTGTACTAAACTGGACAGAGTATAGCAAGAAGGGGGTTGCTGGTTAATTGAATGTGCCCGATTAACAAAGCTTATTGCTCTGCCCCCACCCTGTACTGGCAGATGTAGCTTCCAGCAGGTTGAGGGGGAAGGAGGCGCCGGCTGATGATGTCAGCCAGCAGTGCCAGCTGTCAGAAGCCCCAAAATGGCCAACCAGACAGGTGGGAATCAGGTGGGAGTGCCTGAAGATACAGCGGCATTGTGGCGGGGGGGCAGCGTCAGTTAACAAAGTTTTCTGGATAACAGAGTGCCGGATAACAAAACTTTCACTGTATGAGGCACTTCTGCTAATGTACTGCTATGGGTTTCCTTCAAGCTTTTGTTAGCATCTTGTACACCATCAAATACATAATTAAACATCTTTTCTGTCATGTATTTTACATGTGCTATGTATTTCCCATGCTCTTTTGTTTCTCTTGATAAACTCTGAGACACAATTTATTTTTTTTGTTTTTCTCTTTAGTGCTCTGCGGGCACCTCCAAAGGTTTCTCCACCAGTCATAAGTAATGAAACTATCCAGAACAGGGTTGTGTGTCTTGTGTATTCCCTGATCTATCCAGAACAAGGTAAGATACCTGAAACGAGCTGTATCTTTGTTGTAAAAATGGCAAAACCAAGGGGAAACATACAGCGAGCGTGTAGGTTACCAAACCCATCTCGTGCCATTCCGGGCTTGCCATTGTGAATTGTCCCTTTAACTTTTAACAAATCCAAGTAAGTAAATAAAATGTCTTGTTTCCCATGGAAACATAAAACTCTTCCTCAGTTAACCTGCTGCTGCCAAAGAAGGTAAATTTTTACTGCATGATAGTATGAATTTGCTTTCTCACTGACGTAGTGGAAATAAAGTACGGCAGTTTTAACCTTGGTGTAGGTAGGCCCTGGTGAAGGGTGTAATGCTGAACTCATGTAACTACACAGAGATGAACGCTGCGCTGCCTTGTCTTAGGAGCGAGATAGCTTTCTTCAGGGGATTGTCTCGCTGTATAGTCATGCTTATTAGCAGTGAAGGCATAGGCTTTGAAACTTGTCAGGTATGCTCAGGTGGATGAGATGACTGATCTGGAGAGAGAGAAAGCATATTTTATGTATACATCTACAAAATTTGCTATTCTCCATAGTCTTCTTTACCCTGGTCACAGTCAGTTTCTTGTTGTCGTGTTCCGAGTGATTCACGGATGGGAGATGTTGGCAAGGAGGGGAGGTTGTGGGCTTTTAGTACATGATGGAATTCCATGGCTAAGGTGAGGTCTAGAAAAAATCTAGGTGGTTGGTGGGAGCAGCAGAAGGGGACAAGGTTGAAGATGTCCATGTTTGCAGAGCAGAAGGCATGGGAAGTGACGCCCACAGACATAAGAACCGATTATTGAGGCAGAGCAGAACTGTGAAGGGCCTTGAAGAAGAGCACAGGAAGCTGACCAAGTAGGCCACTCTGAGTTGTGTTACTGCCAGAAGATGCTGAGAGTGCTAATGGCGTGCCATCTGCTAGCAACCAGATGTTCATGACCACAAAGTGTTCCTCAGATGGGGAAAACAAACTACTTATTTAGCTACCTAAACATACATCTAAGAATGTGTCTACATTGCACCCTACACTCAAAATAAGATATGCAATTTGTGTTACACAAATTATGTATCTTATTTTGAATCTATTTTGAAATTTGGTCTACACAGCGCCAGATTTTGAAATAATGAGCTATTTCGAGCCATCCCTTATCCCTCGTGCAACGAGGTTTATCAGGATGGCAAAATAGCGTGCCCGTTATTTTGAAAAATATTTCAAAATAATGGTGGCTTCTGTAGACACGAGGTAGCTACTTTGGGATACCTCCAGAATCCCGAAATAGCCATGCAGTGTGGACATATCCTGAATGCTTAACTTTAGACATCCAAGTTTACAAATAGAACCATAATATTCTGTTCTGTTTCCAAACTCACATATGCATCTTCTTTATGCTTCCATTGTAGGCAAAACTAACAGCTCAACAATGGCTGATATTTGCAATCTCTCTATTAACCGGAAAGACAAACAAAGTTTGGTATCTCAGATGGAAGAAGTTTGGAGGTAAAAAAGGACTTAGAGTCATAGACAATGACAAAAAAAATGATTGAAATGTGCGCTCTTTTCTCCAAACAGCTTTTATGTTTTCACTTAAACTGATTTCATATTTTCTAAAATACTTTTCGTTCATTTTAGAAAAAGCAAATTACTGGAGTTTGATGGAGAAGACTTCATAAGAGCTACTTTCTCAAAGTATTTAAAAATCATACAAAAGTCCCTACAACTTTTAAAAGGCTTCCAACAAAATTTGAATAGAAACAAATTAGAAAATGTAAAGCCATTCACTGATGTTGAGAACGGAACCATTCAGCGATTGCATAACATTCTGAAGTTGGGAATGAATATCTTCTATGACTATAAATTAAGGAAACCATTAAGTAAGGAAACAATTGATGAAGTCTATAACGTCACATCTCTTCTACTTCTCAAAGATTTTAATGGGACTTCTGTTTTCAATGTAGCAGCACATTGGAATGAAATTCAAAGAACGTTTAAATTAGCTACAGTGATATGGGATCTAGCATTTTTAAATAAGACGCATTTTAATACAAGTAAGACATGGGATGTTATCAAAATGAAGATATCTCATAAGTTTTCATCATTGCCTGAAGACATAAAACACTGCCTCAGTGTAATGCAAGAAATCCCATCTTTGTTTTCAGGTTCCTTTCTTGAACCTACTGTCGGTGAAATCTTTCAGGAGCAGTTCAATACTTTCCAGAGAATCTTTCTTAGTATGAAGAATACGAATATGAGTTACTGCTATCCACTGGGAATTGTTTTTGAACTTTCACGGGCAATCCAAAATTCCATCCCCGAAGACCTGTGGAAGGAGCTGAATATCTATTGGCAGATTTTCGAAAAACTGAGGTCCACAAAATGGAAGAACGCTGATACCCTGCACAGCTGTTTACACTCACTGAATAATGCTTCGGGTGCTCTTTTCAATACAGAATTGGAACAACTAACAGAATTTGCAACCCACATGTTACAAGAGCATGGTAGCGAAGCCTCCAAAGTGGCCAATATCTCAATGGCCATAGAAGCCATCCAAAAAACCATGGATATATTAAAAGATTTGCAGCAAAAGATTGATATCAGTACATTAGAAACTATTCATCGACTTTTTAATTTTGGCAAAAACAACACTGGTAGATTGATGGAAATATTGAGAGCTGGCATGAAAATCCTTTATGACACCAAATTGAGTGATGTATCCAACAAGGACAAAATTAATGCGGTCTATAATTTCTCACAGCTGCTCCTTCAAAAAGAGTTTAACAAGACTTCCTTACAGTACAAGACTTCACTGGAAGGAAAAGTGTTGGATCTCTTGCATTTAATCTTGAGTCCCTTCCTAGCAGAAAATAATACTCAGAATGAAAAGCCACAGAACTGCTCTATCCAAAACGTTCTCCACATAACACTTCAGATGTTCCTTAAAAATACCACACTCGATGAGTCCTTACCAGGAAACCATTGCAAACACCTGTTTACTTCCATGGATACTCAGACCAGAGCTATGGAAAATCAAACATTTACTGAATTGTTTCAACTTGCCATCATAAACCTAGAGCAGACTCCAGAATTTGCCAGCATCTACAGAAACAACAGTGAATATTTCTCGAATGAGCTGTCTTGTATCATCCAGTCATTACAGTTTGCTTCTAATTTTCTTTCAAAATTAAACACTGTCTCCAACCTTAAGCATCACTGGATCGAAGAAAAGTATCAGACTCTGACAGCCATCTCTAAGGAGCTGCCCTTGAATAAGGTGACCTGCCTAATTCCAGCCTTTCAGACTATGGATAGTGTATTTAAATCTTATCCTTTAAACATTTTGGTGCCTATTATTTTGAATGAAACAGACTGGAAGTCACTAAATATCTCTGGCAGTTCATTGGACTGGATTGGGTTGCCTCTGTTTTCCAGTCTACGGCCAGTTGTTCCCCGGTGGAATGCCAGGATATATGAAGTGTTACAGATGATCCAAAACAACTCCAGCCAGTCTGAATGGGGATATTTCTCAAGATTCTGGAAAAGCATTGGCAATCTGACAGTCACCAAATGGAACCTGACAGAAGTGAAACTCCTGGAAATGATGACAAAAACTTTCAATGTTGTTGACATTGGATTAGCTGCCAAGAAATCAAAAGCACACCAGTTCCTTTATAAGTCTAACTTGGGAATGAAACCCTCATATTTGGAAGATATATTTAGTGTGCTAAAACTCTTCCTCAACACAACTTCTGCCACAAACCACAATCCAGTCTCAGAGAGGCTGTTTAAAAGTTTTGCTCCCCCAAGCGAGGCCCCTGCTGAAAGACGTCTCTTTATGAATCTCTATTCAGGGGAAACACAACGTTTTTTAAACTTATCTAGCGTAATTTGGTATCGATACATTTTAAATGACCAGCTTTTATCCCTCCAAAAACTCCTTGCTTACAAGGCAAAGGTGTACACAACTCAATATTACCTACTGATGTCTTCCCTGTCTAAACAAATGCAGCTTTTCCGAAATTCCACTCAGGGGAATGAGTTCACTAGTTACAGGCGCATTGCTGAAATATTAGGGTCCACAGAATGGAACAGTACAGATGTGATTGCCTCTGAGTCCCTTTTCGACGCCTTGCAAAAACAGTTACAGACAGTGGGAAAAAATTCAGGTCTCCCTTTCAGTAACAAACTGGAGCAGTGGATGAAACTTGCATCCCAAGCGTATCATGGAGCAGACTCCAGAGAACCCAGTTTCTCAAAGTTTTTGCAAGCAGTACAAAGGGGCATCTTCATTTTAAATGACGTCCAAGAAAAGTTTAATGTCAGTGGACTGAAGGCTGTTGATCGGCTGATGAATTTCGACAATAACTCCATCCAGAGATTGCCTAAAATATTGTGGATAGGATTGAAAATCCTTTATGACACCAGATTGGGCGAAGCATCCCATAAAGAAAAAATAGCTGTGGTCTATAATTTCTCACACCTACTACTTCGAAGGGAACTCAACCAGCCTTCTTTACACCCCGATACTTCATTAGAAGCAAAAGTGTTGGATTTCTTGCAGCTAGCCCTGAGTCCCTTCCTAGCAGAAAGTAATACTCAGAATGAAAAGCCACAGAACTGCTCTGTCCAAGACTTTCTTCACATAACACTTCAGACGTTCCTTAAAAATACCACACTTAGTGAGTCCTTACTAGGAAGCCATTGTGAACGCCTGTTTACTTCCATGGACATGCACACCAGAACCATGGAAAATCAAACATTTACTGAATTGTTTCAACTTGCTATCAGAAACCTAGAGCGGACTCCAGAATTTGCCAGCATCTACAGAAACAATAGTGAATATCTGTCAAGTGAATTGTCATGTATTGTCCAGTCATTACAGTTTGCTTCTCGTTTTCTTTCAACCTTAAATACTATCTTTCACGTTAAAAATCCTTGGATAGAAGAAAAGTACCAAACATTGACAGCCGTCTCTAAAGAACTGTCCCACAGTAAGGTAACCTGCCCACTGCCAGCTTTTCAGCATATGGACAGAGTATTTAAATCCCATCCTTTAAGCTGTTTGATTGCTTCCATCTTGAACGCGATGGACATGAATTCACAAAATTTGTCTAGGAGCTCAGTGGATTGGAAGAACTTGTTCGTTCCCTGGATTGGTACCCAGTGGAACTCCAGACTGTATGAACTACTACCGATGGTCCGTAGTTCCCCCAGCCCCTCTGAATGGAATAATTTCTTCAGTATCTGGGAAAAAGTTGACAAGTTGCTAGGCACCAAATGGAATCTGACCAAACCAGTGGGGTATGGAAAGCTGCTGGAAGTGATGAAAAGGGATCTGGCTGACAGCCAATCCGCACCAATAGATGCCGCTCATGTTAAGAAACTGAACTTTTCTGATCGGCTAGCCTTATTGAAAATGGATCGCAGTCCAGAGTCTGTCTCTACTAGAGCCAATTTTGATGGTGTATTGGGCAGCATGGCTCATCCTTTCCGTGTTATAGCAGAAACCTTTTTCAATAAAGCCCTCACTCGGAATGAAGGCAAACAAACCCTGTCTCCTACCAACTTGATCGCCCAGTAAGTTAATTTATTTCCAGTTTAATAACTGTCATAATTTCTTGTAGACTCTACAATAGCTTCTGGCATTAGTTTATTTTACTTGTCAATTAAAGGAGCAACATTATGCTGCACTTACATGAACTACTAGCAAGGGACATAAAATGCAATAAGGAAAGGTTCTATAAATACATTAGCAGCAAGAGACATACAAGGAAAAATGTAGCCCCCCTACTAAGCAGGGAAGGATAGCCAATAATGGATGACCTCCAGAAGGCTGTGGTCTTTGCCTGTTTTGCTTCAGCCTTCACTAAAGAGATAAATTGTGACCAGGTACTCAACACAATTAACGTTAACAACATGGGGGAAAGGAACACAAGCCCAAACAGTGGAAGAACGGGTGAAAGAATAGTTAAATAAATCAGGTGTATCTACATTGGCTGGAGCTGATGAAATTACCAAAGGGCACTTAAGATGCTAGCTGAAGCAATCTCAGATCGATTCGTAATTACTGAGGCCCCAGAGGACTGGAGACGGATAAACGTAACACCTAGCTTTAAAAACAGGACTGGAAAGGGCCTAGAGAATGATAAACCACTCACCCTAACTTTGATATCTGGAAAGATATTGAAACAAATTGTATTAAACTGCCTGTGAGCGCCTAGAGGATAATAAGGTTACAAATAACAGCCTACATACATTTCCAATAGCAAATCACGCCAGACCAACCTAATTTGTTTCTTTGTCCCTAGTGGATAAAGGGAAGCAGTAAACACAATATATCTTGATTTTAGTAAGGCTTTTCTTACAGTTCCACGTGTCATTGTCGTAAGAAAGCTCAGGAAGCATCGTCTTGGGTACATTGCTACAACGTGGGTGCAGAATTGCCAGACTATACACAAAGAGAAGTTATCAGTGGGCAAACTTGGGGAACATTTTGAGTGGGGCTTCCTGATGGGGCTATGCTGGGCTCAGTACTAGTCAATATTTTCATTCGTGACTCAGAGAATGAAGTAGAAAGCGTGCTTGTGAACTTTGTGGATGACCACAAGTTTGGAAGCTTTGTTAGTGCTTTGGAGAAGAGGATTAGAATTCAAACAACCTTGAAAACAAAAAAAGGAGAATTGATCTGAAATCAACAAGAGGAAATGGAATAAAAACAGACAAAGAGTACAGGTTGAACCTCTCTAGTCTGGCACTGCCTGGTCCGGCAATATCTGTGGTCTGGTATGATTTTAGTTCACCAGATGTCCACTTATCATGGGTGTGGCCAACTTTCCTGCAGTCCTATAAAGTCTGTTTACAGCCACCCATCTTGGCTCTCAGTGTTCTCTGCTTCTAAGGGCCCAGTAAGCAGTGGAAGTGTTAGTAATGCTGCTAGAAAAACAGTGACCTCCTGTGGTTCAGCAAATTCTCTGATTCGGCACCGGTCAGGTCCCAAGGATGCTGGACTAGAGAGGTTCAACCTAAGCTACAGTTAGGAAGGAAAAATCAAACGCACAACTACAAAATGGGAAACAACTAGCGAGGCAGTAGTGCTGTTGACATGGATCTGGGCTAACAGTAGGCAGAAAATTGAATATGAGGCAGCAATGTGATACGGTTGCAAAAACATCTAATATCATTCTGAGGTGTATTAATGTAAGTAATGGGAGGTAACTGTTCCTTTCCATTTGGTACCGATGAACCCTCAGCTGTAATGCTGTGTCCAAGTTGGTGTGGCACATTTTAGGAAAGATATGGAGAAACTGGAGAAAATTCAGGGGAAACCTACAAAACTGATAAAAGGTTTAGAAACCCTCACCTATAAGGAAGGGTTTAAAAACACTGAGAAAGTTTTTAAAGACCAAGAGGGGGATCTGGTAACAGTCTTCAAGTGGGCTAGGGGCTGTTATAAAAAGGAAGGTGATCTATTTTTCTTCAGATCCTTTGAACGTACAAGAAGTAATCATCTAAATCTGCAGCAGGGGAGATCTAGGGCAGTTCCATTTCTAAGGTCGTGTCTACACTAGATCTGGAAGCTCGGCTTAAGGTACGCAACTCCAGCTACGTAGAGTATGTAGCTGGGGTCAGCTTACGTTAAGCCAAGCTTAGCGCCATCCCCACGGTAGGAGGCCAATGGGAGCAAGCCCTCCCGTTGACTTCCCTTATTCCTCACAAAAACAGGAGTACCAGCCACCGGCAGGGGCACCCTCTGAGTTCAATTTAGTGAGTCTTAACTAGACTCACTAAATCAAACTCCGGAAGATCAATTGCAGCAGCATTGATCAGGGTAGTTAAGCTTTGGAATAGGCATCTATGGGAGCTGATGGAATACTTCTCATTGGTGGTTGTTCAGAACAGGTTGGACAAACATTTGTCAGATTGGTTTAGGGTTATTTGACCCTGCCTCAGAGCAGGAGGTGTCCTCCTTTGGTTCCTTCCATCCCTCCATTTCTCTGATTCTGTGTCTAAGACCTACCACCCTTACTTCTGGTTCCAAACCATATGGACACTGAGAACATGAGGGCGTGGAAGATTTCATAAGTCACTAAACCTTACATGCAGTGGGAGAGATTTCCAGAAATGCTCCTAGTTGGCCTGCCTCTGTCTCCATTGAAGTCAAAGGGAGTTTTAACCATTGGCTCCAGCAGGAGAAGAGATAGACCAATGCTAAATGCTTTTGAAAACCCTCACCTGAAGAAAATTAAACTCCTTAGCCTCTTCCCCCTAGTTAAATGACTTCCACCTGCTTGAAAGTTTTCCCTACTGTGCCTTTAAGGCCAGTCACTTTCATTCACCTGAGTGACCATTTAATATACATTTTCTTTTACTCGTGGTCTGCGTGAATTTCTGCAGGCGACTTTTTCTATTGTTTGTGAGAGAATAGCAAAAGAGATCAATGCAATAAAATCGGGCGCATCTTCACAGACTAGATCAGTGGTGGGTAAACTGTGACCGCAGGGCTGCACGCAGCCCGTCGGGGTTCTATGTATGGCCCATGAGACATTTTGTTTACTGCTGCTCACAGTTCCACAGGTTTCCATCCACGTAGTTTCCCCCTCCCCCCCCACACACACACTAGTATTGCTAAGGTGACACAGATGTAAAGCCAGGGTACATGAAATGAGGTGCATGCTGTTGGCACACAACACTGACTACGAGAGACGTGTGCTCCCTCTACATCCAAAGCGCTGCTAGGTTTCGGTTGGCACATCCTACAAATTCTAGGCATGCGAGTGCAATTAGCAAAACTACTCTGTGCTAGGAGACTTCCTTGGTCACAACCATCTTGCGGCCCACGGAGATGGAGGAGGGCCACTCATGCGGCCCACCCACTAGCTTCGGTTGCCCATGGCTGGACTCCATCCTCCGACGATATAAATCAATTGACTTCAGGGAAGTCATACTGATTTACACCACCCAAGAATCTAGCCCTCATGCTGCTAGCAGGCTACTCAACAATGCTCCTTGCTTGTTATAAGCAGAAATGGACTAATTGCGGTCTTATTTTCCAGGTTTCTGTTTTTAGAATTGGAAAAAGCCATCTTACAGGTGTCCTCCAATAACATCTACAAACCTTACCTGACCTGTTTAATGAATGTGAGTGGCAGCCAAGATAGTGAGTTGTCAGGTAATCATTTTTTTTCATTAACGCCATGGGGATTATCTGGTAATGATTTAAGTCTGTCTTTAAAAAATGTTAGCTGTAATGACGCGAAGAAATGGTACGGTGTGTTTTTAGTGTCCTTGGAAGTCCGCTGGCACTGTGAGGCCTCAGAACCTCAGAGAAGAAGGTGCCTTTTGATTTGTCTTGTGCATTTTTATTTTTATTTTAGGGTTTGTTTGTTTTTTTGGTTCTTTAACTGTATCACACTGTCAGTGTAATGTGTCCACCATAGTAATCAGAAAAACACGGAACACTTCACAGTGTGTGTGACATTGTAGTAAAATATATGCTGCCGATACCTCCTTAGCAACGTGAACCTAGCATCTTCAGCCCTGCTGTGTTCTGGTGTGACTTCTCTGTTCCTTTATGACGGCAGCCATGATTCCGAGAGCTAAGCTTCCGTTGGGAGCACGGTGCGACGTGTGGACACGCTGGGTCCCTACTTCCAGCAGCAGCACTGGAGTTGCTATTTCCTCTACAGGCCTCTTTGCTTTCACGAGTGTGGTTTCCATTCTGGGGTCGGTTTGGGGAGCAGGGAGTTGGCCTCTCGCAGATCAGACCCTGAAAAATGAAAGGTTTTAGTAAAGGGGCAGATAGAGATCACGCTCCCCGGAGCGTAAAGGAAGCCAGGCTCGGACTGTGTACCACTAGGTGAGGGCTTCTCAGGAGGTTGTTTTATGGCTGTCTCCTGCCATGCCTGCCCTAGGAGAATTCTCTGGCTGCCACAGGGGCCCATTTACACCACTCCGGCCCTTTAATGCCATGTCATGAAGGGACCTGTGCGGGGATGAGAATCTAAAAGGCTGGACCATAGAGATACAGTTGATGGCTGCAGAGGTGCTGCACACCATCTGAACTCATTGGGGTCTGCGTGCGCTCAGCCCCCGTGGAAAGCTGACCCTCATGGAGGAAGTTCAGGTTTCCAATTTTTCTGGAAAACCTCAGGGCTGTGTCTAGACTGGCCAGTTTTTCCAGAAAATCAGCCGCTTTTCCAGAAAAACTTGCCAGCTGTCTACACTGGCCACTTGAATTTCCGCAAAAGCACTGACTTCCTACTGTAAGAAATCAGTGCTTCTTGCAGAAATACTATGCTGCTCCCGTTCATGCAAAAGTCCTTTTGCGCAAAAGTTTTGCGCAAAAGGGCCAGTGTAGACAGCTCAGATTTGTTTTCCACAAAAAAGCCCCGATCGCAAAAATTGCGATCGGGGCTTTTTTGCGGAAAAGCGCGTCTAGATTGGCCACGGAC